GTGTTAATCCATCCATCCATCCATCCATCCATCCATCCATCCATCCATCCATCCATCCATCCATCCATCCATCATCTTCCACTTGTTCTGAAGTCAGGTCGTGGGATCTTTGTTCCCATTTCGTGAATTTTGTTTTGTTATCACATCTCCTTGTTTTGTTCTGGTCATTTTCTTTACTTTTTCTTTTTTTTTTTTTTTTTTGCAGACAGTTTTGTGTCCTGTTGATTAATTTGTGTCATTCTGTGATCACCGAGTGGGTGAAAGGGACATAATTGGTGATGTTTATCCTGGGGACGTGCTAATTGCTTTTTATAAATGTTTTCAAAGAATATTTACCCATTCCATTGATTCTTTACACTTAAATTGATGCACAAAACTGAGGTTATACTGTAAAACAGGCATTATCTTGAGCAGAGCTGTCATTTCTAACCTGAACCTGGAGCCCGACCCAGCCCGACCTGGATTTGTAAACGGGCCGGACAATAATGATGTGCGGGCCGGGCCGGTCTTGAGTTTTGATTCGGTTTTACGAATCATACAGCACAAATAAAACTAAATAAGAATACACAATGTAAAATTGTGTTAATCTATTTGCAGAGGAGGAGGCTTAAGGTTATATGTTGAGAGGATGAAGAAAGAAAGAAGGGTGCGGCAGCTAATCAGACTGTGGAAGAGATCGCTGGCACATTGCGCAATAATTGCACACGTGGGCTCAGGCTTCTTTCTTGTAAACGAGTCCCCAAGGGTCAATGGGACTAACTTGTGTAAATAAAGGTTGAATGAATACAGCACAAATAAAACTAAATAAGAATGCATAATATAAAATTGTGTTAATCTACTTGTTGAGGAGGAGGCAGGTCCGACCAGTCGGTTTAAAGAGGTAAAAACAAGTCAGATTAAGCTCAGATGGACAACCTGTCACTGGTCACATGCTTTCACTGACCCGCCGGTTGAAATAGACTTGCGACCTGTCCAGGGTGTCCCCCGCCTCTCACACAGTGATGGCTGGACATGGGCACCAGCGACCCCCGCTATCCATAAAGGAAGAAGAGGGTAAAGATAATGGATGGATGGATCATCTGATCACCGGCTGCGTGCGTCTTCGCACCTGCTGTCATCTGTGGTCAAGGAAGTAGCAGCATCTACAAAAGCCGAAACGAGCAGCGCGTTCAATTAAAATAACCTTGTTCTATATTTTTCCAAATGATTTTGCTCTAAAAATATTTTTGTTCATCTAATAACCTGTCTTTAGAGTTGATATGTTAGGCTATTCGTTTTGTATGTTAATATCCATTTGGTGAAATAAGAAATCTTATATCTTCCTTTCTTTGAAATACATTTTTAAATATTATGTCAAACTGAAATGCTTACAAAAGCAATAAAAGCTTAATAAAAACAATGTTTTTTTTTTTTTTTTCCCTGTTTCAGGCCTGTAATTACAGTTAATTTGATCAGAACGGGTTGGGTTCGGAAAAAATGGCTACGGGCCAGGTCAGGTCGGGTCAAATTTTTTAGGCCCAAATGCAACTCCAATCTTGAATGTTAATCCTCTGTGATCTTTAAAAAAATTCCTCAATCTAGCTCCAAGTATCTAATTTCAAGCCCTTGCTGCATCCTCTCGTGTCCACCTTGTTCAGGCCGATGAGCTGGATGATGATGATGGAGCTCGACCACTGGCTGAGTCGCTGCTCCTGGCTCTAGCTGACCTGCTCTTCTGCCCTGACTTCACTGTGCACAGCCACAGAAGAAGCCCTGTGAGTAACCTGTGTCCTGACACCGTGCTCTGCAACACTTTTTGTTCATCGTCTCACCACCCACCATCAAAACTCATGAACGACTAAGAAATGTTCAAAAGCTGTTTAGTTTTTCCTTGACTTCACTCTTCATTGCTGAATTTTAAAGGTTAGTCATAATTTTTAAGCACATTTTTCTGCTGTGGCTGCCTAACTAACCCGTCACTCGAGTTTTGCTGAAGGAGAAACTTCTTGAGGTGACACAAGATGACACTTTCTTGGTCATGAAAGAAAGAAATGCTTCTTTCTCCCCTAGAATGTAAAGAATGCTGCAAATCAGACAAGAAGTTTCGACTAACAATGAATGAACTCACAGTATTTGCTTTGTAATTATGACGTTTACTTTAATTAAACAATTTATTTTCTTTGACTGATTATTTTTATACGACTTCCAGGACTCAGTAGAGAGCATGCAGTCATTAGACAGCTGTGAGTACATCTGGGAGGCAGGCGTTGGATTTGCACAGTCACCCCCTCTCAACTACATCCATGATCTAAACAGGTGAGTAAACTTATAGAGGTCACTTTGTTTCTTTTCTCTTTTTCATCTGGTGACTGTGTTTTGAAGGTAGTTTTGTTCTGTCTCTGTGTTTTTCCACCGTCAGGGCGGAGCTGCTCAGGTTGTTGCTGACCTGCTTCTCAGAGGCCATGTACCTGCCTCCTTCAACAGACAGCAGCGTCCTCAACCCGTGGGTGACTTTCTTCTGCTCCACAGAAAACAGGTGATTGCTCAGCCCCACGTGCATGAACCAACATGCACTCGCAAACGTATAAAACAGCCTCTGTTTAAATGTCAAGCAAGTGCTTACAATATTTCTTGTGCTGCGAGAAGAAGTCATGAAAGAGCGCGTTTGTATTTACATCAGGATTCACTTTCCACACAGAAGGGTTCATGCACGCGTTTAATACAGACAATTTAATGAAACATGACTTATTTTTGCATGTATACTATAAATCCCAAACAATTTGGTTTTATTTAGACATGCGTTTGTTTTGAAATAATTTAAATTTCTTTTAGGATGTTCTATCCTGGTTGTTGTAAGAAAAGAGCACGGTAAAGGCAAAGCCCAAACAACAGGTATGATGGGTGAGGCTTGCAGTGATCAAGATAAGGTCAAGGTTCTTTATTGTCATTCGCATCTCTTGTGGTACATGTGGTGGAGTGAAATTGTGTTCTCAGGGTCCCAGTTACATCCAGAAATAGCAAAACATAAATTGTAGAAGAAAAAACAATACTAAGGATTTAAGATATAAACTAAGAAATACACTAAACACTAATAGTGCAAAACAACAGCAGCACGAACATGAGTCTGTGTGAGCAGATGAGTACAAATGAACACAGCAGCATGAAATAAATCAGCAGCATGAGATCAGCAGCATGGATAATCAGCAGCACATATCAACAAACAAAGTGGCATTACAGTGATGTTTTTCTTTAAACTTTTTTTTTTCACAGTGATAATCTTGATTAGGGATTCATGAGTCTAACAGCTTCAGGGTAGAAGCTGTTCTTCAGTCTAGTGATTCTACACTGAATGCTCCGCGACTTTCTGCCTAAGGGGAGTGGGGCGAATTGAGCAGGTGGATTCTGGGGTTAAACTGGGCTGCAGCCAGTTTCTGCCCTGTTCAGTTTCACTGAATCACAAAAACTTGGTCAAACACCTCTTGCATCATGTAATAGTTGAATTGTCACTGTTTCCAGATTGATTCAAAATGGCTGCCATAGCCAACTGATCCTAAAAGTGACAGAAATGACTAATTCACAGCACATACTGTGAGCATGACTCGTGACACCCTGGGATACCGGGGTTTATTTTATGATTTTCTAATGCGTTTTTGATGTTTTTCTTCCAGACATGCCCTGCCTCTGTTCACGTCTCTGCTCAACGTTGTATGCGCTTATGATCCGGTGGGTTATGGGATCCCGTACAACCACCTGCTATTCTCTGACTACCGGGAACAGCTAGTGGAGCAGGCGGTACAGATCCTCATTGTGACCCTGGAGCATGATGGAGGGACTCCTCACCCTCCCGCTTCTTCATCCAGCATTGAGGAACAAGAGGTATGACAAGAGAACAGCAAATAAATCCATTTGTTGATGAGATTTGACGTCATCATCAAAGACTCTCCTTGTCTTTGTGCAGCCTACAGGCCCTGAAAACCTGTTTGTCAATTACTTGTCAAGGATTCACAGAGAGGAGGTTTGTTATAACTGTTTCTTAAAGAAAAGCTAAATATCTAAGGAAATTAGTCGTTCATCACATATTTTTGTGCTTTTCTTGTTTGTAGGATTTTGATTTTGTACTGAAGGGCCTCGCTCGTCTCCTGACCAACCCTCTGACTCAGACGTACCTGCCCCATTCCACCAAGAAAATCCAGTTCCATCAGGAGCTGCTGGTGCTGTTCTGGAAACTTTGTGACTTTAATAAGGTTTAACAGAACTAAATCCAAATCATAAGACATTAGGAGGGTCAGAACTTTCACTTTGAGTTGATCATAATCCGTTTTGTGCTCTCTTCTTAGAAATTCCTGTTTTTTGTCCTGAAGAGCAGTGATGTGTTGGATGTTCTGGTTCCTATTCTTTATTATCTGAACGATGCCAGGGCGGATCAGTGTAAGATATCTTTTTTGCTTCATTACAGATACTGTAAACCTTTTACCACCCTCCTAATATTGAGTAGATTTTCTTGCCTGGGAGTCACTTTCACATCCATGTAAATGCAGGACAGCAGAATTTTGTGTTGCAGAAAGACAAAGAAGGGTGTTACTTTCTTTACCTGGTTGTAATGTTATGGTTGATCAGTATAAATTAGAGAAGTTTGCATTTTCTGTGTAAATGCAGTGTGCATGCTGAGTGCTGATAGACTTGAATGACATTTGTTACTGAAACTGAAATGTAAACGATCGGATCAAAAGGTAAAACTAGCAACAGCTAAAATTAGCTAAACAAAAGCTAAAGCTTAAACCAGCAAAACAGTAGCTCAGTGTTCAAAATGAAGCAAATTTGCTGAAACATTTTTTTTAACAGAACACTGTTTTCCAAGGGTTTTTAAAAATGTATATGAATTTCTGTAAAAAATGTCAATAAGAATAAATATGTTATCTCAAAAAGTATACTATTCACAAAAAAGCAAGAGCCATAGCTGTGACATCCTGAACGAGCGGAGTCTTTTGGCATTTGAGTGTCTGAAATTACGTTGAAGAATCCAAAAAAGCAAATATAGGAAGCTCTAAACAGGAAAACAAAGGAAAACATGGGAATGCTGACTCAGCAGTCACACTGTTATCCTCTGACGTGATGTGTCCTTGCTGCAGCACGTGTTGGACTCATGCACATTGGTGTCTTCATTTTGCTCCTGCTGAGCGGAGAGAGAAACTTCGGTGTGCGCTTGAATAAGCCCTATTCTCTCCACGTGCCCATGGACATCCCCGTGTTCACAGGGACTCATGCCGACCTGCTCATAGTGGTGAGACGGGCACAGAACACTAATTTAAATGTCATATGTTTGACAACTGTTTATTTGTAAAGCTTGTCAAATACTATTAATCCTTGTTGTTTATATTCTAGGTGTTTCACAAGATCATCACCACGGGGCACCAGCGTCTCCAGCCTCTCTTTGATTGCCTGCTCACCATTATTGTGAATGGTAACTTCTTCTGCTGCTTTCCCTCTGAGTTTCTTAAAAATATCAACATTTAAATGTCATTTTTAGGTATATTTTATTTTACCTTTATTTATACAGGTAGTCTCATTGAGTCACGAGGACTCATTTTCAAGAGAGACCAGAAAACACATGGAGTAAAGACAACAATATACGACAATAAAAAGCAATTAAAATAAAAAGTAGTGCTATAAAAACAATAAAATAAAGGTGCCATAAAAAAACAAAGTGAAATACCAAAAACAAGAACATATTTGCTTAGATTTTTCTAATGACCTTATGAAATGTTTAAAATCCCTTAAAGAAATCAAAGTGGACAGCTTCAGATCTTGTTGCAAGATGTTCCAGGATACAGGAGCAGAGTAAGAAAAGGCCTTTTTGCCGAGTTCAGTTCGCACTGAGGGAACGCTGCAGGTATGAAGACCTGAGAGCGCACGCTGTAACTGCAATGACGACGTGACAAGTGGGAGGAGATATAAGAAGGCAGCAGACCAAGAGTTGAAGATCTACCAGTGTGAGAGCCTACATGTAGATAATGATGACCAACTGACCAAGGAGTACAGAGTGCAGTGATGGGTACGATGGTTTCAACCAGTTATGAACCTTAGAGTGCCATGGTAGACAGTATCCAACATCTGCAAGGAGCTGGAAGGAGCATTCATGTAAATAATGTCACCATAATTGATAGTCGGTAGCAAAGCTGCAGCTACATTTCCTGGCATTCGGAGTTAAACGATCTATTTCTGAAAAAAGAAACCCAGTTTTAATTTAAGTTTCTTTATCAAGTTTCAACATGTGGCTTAAAATAGAGATGTGCATCAATTACAATTCTCAAGTATTTGTAAGAATCCACAAACTCAATAAGAACACCATGCCTGGATGAGATAGGAGGAAGAACTGCTGGCACCAACTTTCTATTTGAAAACAACATCCCCATGGTTTTTATCAGCATTTAGCACTAGTTTGAGATGGAACAAGTCTGACTGGTGTCATATGCAGACTGTAGAAGCTGGAAAGCCTTGGCAACTGTGCTAACTCGACAATAAACAACTGCATCATCAGCACAGCGATCCAAGGAGGTGTCAGGAATGTTTTGACCTACATTACTTACAGTATATAAATTGTAAAAAGAGTGGGTCCTAAAACTGAGCCTTGTGGCACACCGTTAGCGCCCGTTAAATAGCTAGACGAAGTACCATTGTGTTGAACACACTGCCTCCAACCTGAGAGATAGTTAGAAAACCAACCAACAATGTGATCTGAGAAACCAGTGCACATGTCCTGGGTTTGTGAGCATCATGTTAGCAACATATCTCATAAAACACTTGTAGGTTTTAATGAAACATTCAGAAAGTAACCAGTGGGTGCATATCTACAACTTATTAGTTTTTTATGGTAATAAAATCAAGATGGCTGCCACAGCTAATCTACCTAAGCCAACAGAAAGAATATGTGCTGCTGACTATCCATGCTGCTAATCTCATGCTGCTGATTTATTCCATTCTGTTGTATTCATTCATCCTCATCTGCTCACACAGACTCATGTTTGTGCTGCTGTTGTTCGGCGTATTGTTTTTTGTACTACTAGCACTTAGCGTATTCTTAGTTTAGTATATTTCTTAGTTCATATCGTAGATCTTATTACTGTTTTTCTTTACAATTTATACTTTTGTTGGATGTAACCACCCTGTGTACACAATTTTGTTCCATCACATGTACCACATGTGGTGTGAACGACAATAAAGAAACCTTGATCTTGATATAACTTTATTAAATGTACAGATCTAAACAAAGGTTTGATATGGTCGTAGCTCAAAGTCATTCATAACACACGCACAAGCACAGTTCATGTGACATCACAGGAGATTAAGCACAATGTTATTTCAGAGGTTTTACCAAATTGACTGTTATTTTTTAAATAAGGTTTAAAACTGACAGGAAATGTGCATGTAATTTCCTTCAAAAAATGTTCTGCCTTTAATGGTATTTGTTTAAAATATGTTAAAATAATATATAAATATTCCAAGAGGAATCTTTTAAATATTGCATTTCTCTTTCTTGTTTAGTTTCCCCCTATCTGAAGAGCCTGTCCATGGTCGCTGCCAATAAACTGCTCCACCTTCTCGAGGCCTTTTCCACAACCTGGTTCCTGTTCTCAGTCACACAGAACCATCACCTCGTCTTTTTTCTCCTTGAGGCGTTCAACAACATTATTCAGTATCAGTTTGATGGTAAGCCAAAACTGGGGAACTTCTTTGTGCATTTTTACGTTTCTGCAGCGCATCTTCATACGTTTCTCTGCATTCTCTCCTTGACAGGAAACTGCAGTTTAGTCTACGCCATCATCCGCAAGCGGAATGTGTTCCACCAGCTGGCCAACCTGCCCTCTGACCCCGCTTCGATCCAAAAGGCCTTGCAGAAGAAGAAAAAGTCACCGGATGCGATTTCCCGCACAAGCTCCCAGGAGACTGTATCCATGGAGGGCTCACATCCCGCAGCACCGGCAGAGCCTGGGACACTCAAGGCCAGTCTAGTTGCTATACCAGGTACGACTTTAGGTTTGGAGTGTCAAATGTTTTCTCAGTTTAGCTTGACACAGGATGACAGCTGCTGGAAACGTCTGTCAAATTTCATAATGCATAAAGTATTAGATGTGATTTTTATGTATGGCAAGCCTTGAAGTGCCAACAGGTGCTGTAGTAATACAATAAAAAAGTTTTGCATAGATACTTATCTGTTGAACAATTAGAAATAAATTATAGGTAGTATGTCTACAACTGATTAATTTTTGGGGGGAAATTCAGTTCAAGATGGCTGCCATTACAAACTAATTTTAGTGAACACAAAATGCCAATAAGTCATTCAGTTTCACAGATACTGAGCTAAAATTTGTTGCCGTGATAGTAGCGCGTCATCCCCGACACATCCTTCAACACAACAGATTGCAAAACATTTCTGCTTAAAACCTTCCAACTGTGAGAGATAACTCTGTTTGTTAGCAAAGTGGATGGATTTCAATGAACCTCTCAGAAAGTATTCAATGGCTGTACATCTACAAGTGATTAACTTATGGAGTTGATCCAATTCAAAATGGCAACCACAGCTAATGGACTTCAGCGTCCACAAAAATGGCTATACCTCACTGAGCTATAGATGTTTTGAGTTCAGTTTCAGTGTGGCGTTAGCTGAAAATCATTCACAGCACACACTACTATAGCGCTAACAAATGTGAGATATTGTCTTGTAATTTGACATAGATTGTACAGAAGGTTTTATCTAAATGTCAACATAAAATAATCAGCAAAGAATGTCTTTAAACGACTGATTAGCTCCTTTGAAATGTTTATTATATAACACAGAAAAGACAGGTTTTTGAACGTTCCTGTTGGATTTTCTTCTGACCTGTCCACGTGTCCTCTGCTTCCTTCAGGCATTGACAAACTGACAGAGAAGTCCCAGGTGTCCGAGGACGGCAGCATGGTGTCCATCCCTAAAACAGACTCTCCACACGTGGTCCGCTCAGACCAAAGCACAGCCGCCGCGACCAGTGACACAGAGTCCAACTCAGGAAGAGACAATGAAGTAAGTGCATTCTTATCTGGATTCATGCTCAATAATCCAAGTAGAAAAATCCAACAAAGTTAAGTCAGGTCCTCTGGACGGTTTATTTGTGTTGGAACATTTCTTCTTTCATCCAAAAGACTTCATCAGTCAGGAGCCACAACAAACTCAGTCTTATAAATAGCACCTTCACATAGTGGGTCAACCAGTTTGACGGTGCTCTCAAGGTTCAAAGTTCTTTACTGTCATTTGCATCACATGTGTTACATGAGGTGGAATGAAATTGTGTACACAATGTCCCATTTACACCCAAAAATAGCAAAGATATAAAGTATAAACAGTATATAAGGATCTAAAATATATGCTAAAGATCTAAGATATAAGCTAAAAACTAATAATATAAAATAATATGATGTATTAAACAGCAGACCGAACAACAACCTAGCTCCATCTTAGTCATTCATTTCATTCAACCTTTATTTAGACAGGTAAATCCCATTGAGCCTCCAGGACTCATTTACAAGAGAGACCTGATTTCAACAAAGAATGATGACAACAATGGACAACAGCGACAACAATAGACAGTCATAAAAAGGCATACAGATTTATTTTTATTTTTTTACAAATAAGATGGCAAAAAAAGTAACAAAAACAGTTAGATTATAAGGCAAATGTAGAAAACTAAAAAAAACTAAAATTATATTAGTGATGGTATTGCTTCATATTTTCCTAACAGAGCACTTCGCTCTCAGACTGCAGGCTTACTTGCGGTTCCTAGAGATTCCAAAAGCAGAATGGGAGGAAGATCTTTCAGTTATCAGGCTCCTCTCTTGTGGAACCAACTTCCAGTTTCTGTCTGTGAGGCTGACACATTGTCCAGTTTTAAGACTGAACTCAACACTTTCCTTTTTGATAAATCCTATAATTAGGGTTAGCTTGTTATGCTGCTATAGGCTTAGACTACTGGAGGACAAATTGACCTCATTTCCTTAAATGAATTGTTAAAATTGATTAGTTTTCTATTTCTATCTTAACGTGATTCTCCCCCTGCCATTGTGTATCTGTTCCTCCTTCCTGTTCCTCTCATACCCAGCTGGTCGAAGCAGATGGCCGCTTGTCCTGAGCCTGGTTCTGTTAAAGGTTTCTTCCTATGAGGGAGTTTTTCCTTTCCACTGTCACCTTCATGCTTGCTCAAGATGAGAGTCCTGCGATGGAGTTAAACTCAAAGCAGTCTGCTCCTCAAATAAATAATGTTAACTTCAATTATATACGAATGTTTCTGTTCAGTGCCCTGAGATGACTTCTGTTGTGACTTGGTGCTATTTAATTAAACTGAATTGAACTGATGGTTTCTGGAGTCCGCCCTCTCCCCCACTGACTCGTCTGAATCAGTCATGGCCATAGTGGCTCAAAATATCTTGATTCATGCTCAATAATCCAGGCAGAAATCTGAGCACCATCGAACTGGTTGACCCACTATGTGATGGTGCTATTTATAAGACTGAGTTTGTTGGGGCTCCTCGGACTGATGAAGTCTTTTGGATGAAAGACAAAACGTTTCGACAAAATGAAACCGTCCAGAGGACCTGACTTAACTTTGTTGGGAAAGTGCATTCTTATTTTCGACACGTGTTTTCCTAAATTGAATATCGAGTTTGTTAAATTGCTGTCTCCCCTTATCAGGACGTTTTCTACACTGAAGCTGAAATGGAAAGAAGACGTTTGTCGACCGCATCTTCAACTTCATTATGGGCTCCCACACCGGAGTGGGTCAGTAAAACGTTCATCTTTTTGCTCCGTTTTTGAGTAGTATTAATAAACATGAGATATTAGACAAAGTATTAATTTAGAATGTTTTTTTTTTTTAATTCAGATCTTGTCTTGGAAGTGCAAGTTGCCCCTGCAGACTATCATGCGCCTTCTCCAAGTGCTTGTTCCCCAGGTGGAGAAGATCTGCATAGACAAGTTGGTGTCATTTATGCTTCTATTGTAAAAACCTTATTGGTGCTTTTTAAGAAAGCGAAACGCCTCTAACGAGCTGCTTGCTGTTTTACCCAAGAGGTCTGACAGATGAATCGGAGATCCTGAAGTTTCTTCAGCACGGCACATTAGTAGGTCTACTGCCAGTTCCTCACCCCATCCTGATCAGGAAGTATCAGGCCAACGCCGGCACTGCCATGTGGTTTCGCACCTATATGTGGGGTGTTGTTTATCTGCGGTAAGTCATTTATAATGGGAAGACTGTCATCTTTATACTTTGATTTAAAACTAATAAGCCGTTTGTCATTCTTTTTGTTTTTTTTTAGCAATGTGGATCCTCCCATCTGGTATGACACAGATGTCCGGCTCTTTGAGATCCAGAGAATGTAAACAAGACGCTTAAAGACTGAAAAATCAGACTTGTGACTCCAGGGTTCCTCCTTTCTTCAGTATCTGCTGGCTTCCTGGTAACCCTCACTGTGTCAGCCGTCCTTCTGAGTTGGATGTTTGCCCCTCGCACTTGAAGATAATAAAAAGGTTTATGAATTACCATTAGTGGCGTCCATAAACATCTGTGTTTGTATATTTCTTGAGACCTCAAGACGGCTGAATGTTTGCTGTAGCAGCGAAACAACTGGAGCATTTGCCAAAAACAAAACAAAACTGAAGGTAGAAGTTTAAAACGATAAAACGTTTAATTTTATTTGTTTTAGAGGAAAAGGTCTTTTTCATCAGCGTTATGGATATAACCTGTTTAGGTGGCAAATACTGTAATATTTATTGTACTTGCTTTAAAGTGAACTTGCACCTTTCTGAGTTGTCTGTTTTGTTTTGTAATTTATGTGACGTTTGAGGATAATAGTACTGATGTTTTTATGTAAAAGATGTTTTTGATCTAGTTTGCAATTCTATCATGCTTATGTCAAAAAAGTGTATTTTCCTGAAAATGTATTGGGAAAAATATATACAGAAATGGATCAGCGAATTCTGTGTTGATCGTATGCTTTAATGTAAATCTGACAGTGAAGGTTTCCAGCTAAAAGATTAGTTCAATGCAGCAGTGGTTCCTTACAAATGTCAGGGTTTACATCATGTGGACAATCTTAGCCTTTTCCTGTCTTTGCTGTAAAATTAAATGACGCTTTCACATGTTCGCCACTAGATGGCGCCATATTCCGTTCAGATCTCAATTTGGAGTTGATGTCTAGAGAATCCTGGATTATTTTACCCCTTAAGGTCTTTAAACCAGCTATATCAAGTAATTTGATTAAAAGGAAATGTCAGGATTTTTATTTATTTAATTCACATTTTCTTTTGCTTTGAACGTTATCATCAAGTTATGTTTTGACCAATAAGTGTTTTACACACTGTGGGCAAAGTGATTATACTTGTAATTGCAGTTTACATTTTAATATTATCAGACATTGTGGAAAAGATGCTAAACAGACTTATTTTTCCTACATTTGGTCTCGCATCCTTTTTTTTTCAGTGTCTCTGGTTGTCT